AGGAAAGGGGAGATGTTGGTCGGAGGGTACAAACTTAAGATGAATAAGTTCTGAAGATCTAATGTACAGCATAATGATTATAGTTAATAATACTGTATTATATGCTTAAAAGTTGCTAAGAGAGTAGATCTTCAATGTTCTTACCAGAAAAAAGAAATGATAATTATGTGATGTGAGGCAGATGTTGGCTAATGCTAGGGTGGTAATCATTTTGGAATGTATCAGTGTATCAAATCAACACATTGTACACCTTAAACTTACGCAATATTATATGTCAATTATATCTTGTATTTGTGGTGAGGAAGATCTGCCCTGAGCTAACATCTGCCAATCCTCCTCTTTGTTCTGAGGAAGACTGGCCCTGGGCTAACATCCATGCCCATCTTCCTCCACTTTATATGAGACGCCGCCACAGCATGGCTTGACAAGCGGTGCGTTGGTGCGTGCCCGGGATCTGAACCCGCGAACCCCGGGCCGCCGCAGCGGAGCGCATGCACTTAATGGCTTGCGCCACCGGGCCGGCCCCCAATTATATCTTAATAAAGCTGTGGGAGGGGAAGGTAGGCTTTGTTTACAGTATTAAAATATTACCTTGTCAACAACAACAGTTCTCCAGAAAAACAGCACATCTCAATACAAGTGCTCCAGAATATATGCCACCAAAAGCTGCTATATAATAACTTGGATCTTTTTACAGTGTGTAGCTTAAGTTTTCCTTTCTCTCATATGTTGAGTGAAACATGTGAAATTCAACTTTTCATGTATATAGTAAAGCATTATCATCACACAAAGAAAAAAAGAGACAAAAAAGGAGGAGGAGGGTAGATGTCTGTTGGTTCCTTCTTCTTCATTAGTATTTTGTGAATAATTTTGGAGAAATAATTTTAAATGATCAGCAAGATCATGCCATTCATTCATTCACACATTTATTCATAAAGGATAGAAATCATGTAGAAAGTAACATATTTTTTTCTTCTGGATTTTATGGGAAAAGAGGAAAATAGGCAGATCCTGTACCCTTTGATCCTGTTATAATTCCAGAATAAGTCAACTAGTATAAGTAATTTTTATTTAGCCTTGTGTGCTACACACTGTAGCAGGACATGGTCTCACCTTTGTATCAACCCTGCAAGACAGATGGTGGTGTCCCTATTTTTAAAAAGAGGGAGAACCAGATATGTTTCTTCAGCTTACAGATTTCTTGTACTTCTTTGGGCTGCTGCCTGGTCCCAAGTAACATTGTAATTATTGGTCGAGGTTGGAGAAAGAAACTAGTTTGGCTAGTAAAATATTACTATGTCTTCCTATCTGACTGTTTATTAAAATGCCAAGAGCTTAGTGTCATGTATAATTTCACCACAATTCATGTGTATTGATGCCCCTTGTTCGTAGATCAGACTAAATTTATAGCATTTGTTTGAGCAAAGGTTAAGCAGATCTTAAAGATTCACCTATTCTTTCGTTCAGTCCGTCCTTCTGATATTCATTCAACAAATACTTTTTATTCCCTAATATATTTGAGATACAGCTGGAGGTGCTGAGGATGTATGGGGGTGGGAGGAATTCTCTGATCTTAGCGCTCTCCTTGTAGTGAGGAAACTAGACTATGAAGGAAGTGAGTCTGGTATATGATAGAGAATAGGTGGGGATGGGGGATGTGAGTGGCACTTTAAGCTGGTTGGGAAGGACATCTCAGAGGAGGAGACAGATGGTCTTCAGAGGATGAGAAGGAGCCAGATCTGGGAACACCTGTGGACAGAGGACTCTAGGCAGGGAGAGCAGCACATACAGCCACCTGAAGCAGGAAAAAGGTTCAGGTGTTCATGGACCCAAAGGGAATTAGTGTTGCTGATATGCTGTGAGCAACTGGGGGAGGGAGAAGGGGTGGATTGGAGAGGAGGGGGGCATTAAAGATGATGTCAGGCAGCTTTGAGATTTGATACTAAATGCAATAGAAAGCCATTGAACTGTGGAGTGACATAATTAGATGTATAGTTTTAGAAGATTGCTTTGGGAAGAATGCATTGTAGATGGTCAAGAGAGGGGAGAAAGACCAGTGAGAAGGCTGCCATCAGGGAAGAGAGGATGGTGGCTAAGCCTAAGATGGAATTGGGGAAATATGAATGGAGTTGAGATATGTTTTGCCCAGGATTTCAGGCTGTGAGGAATGAGGGCAAAGAAGGAATTAAGGGTGACTTTTAGAGTTTTAAATGCAGCAAATCGGGTCGGGGATATGAGGTTCCATTTACCGTAGGAGGTTCATTTAAGCAGAAGACTTAAGGAGTGGGCTAAGGGTGCAGGGTTGAGGACAGTCAAGTCTCCTTCCTTTTGGGACAGTTAACTGATTCGGAAATGCCTTATAGACATCCAATCAGAGGTGTTGAGGTTATTAGACATGTAAGTCTGAAGCTCAAGGGAAAGATCAGAGTTGGAGACATGCATTTGGAAACCACGCTCTGTAGGATAGATGGTATCTAAGGGCACATGACTAATGGCATTTCCACAGGCAAACGTTTGCAATCATTCTAACCTAGTAATTTTTGTTGGTTCCTCCGATGGTACACGCCCTTGACTTGAGACTTGCCTTCACTGTGATGGAAAATACTAATAAATTTTAATTAGGAAATTAGTATAAAATGCGGAAAAGGAACTCCTTAAGTTCTCCTGCATCAAGACATTTGAATAAGAGTAATATAAAATTTAGATTTTGAGAAAAATAACTGAATTTAAAAGACTATAAAGAGACAGTGTAGGAAGGTTACTCTTCAGACATGAGGCAGTGGTAGTATTATTTCTAAAATATGTACAGAAAATCACACTCAGAAAGCCCCTAGAAACTCATGAGTCTCGTCACCGTTTGATGTCAGATGGCAAGCACTTGACTGCCACCCAGGAAGAAGCACATTTAATATAATAAAGGCACATAGTATAAAATCAGAAATTCCCCTGGAATGAGGGAATTATAGAATCTGTACTCTGTACTTCAGAATTCTGATATTCCCTGCATTGGAAGGTCTAGTATATTGCTTGACTTATTCTCTTACAAAGAAGTTGGCAAGTGACACTTCTTTTTTTTTTTTTTTTTTTGGTGAGGAAGATTAGCCCTGAGCTAACATCCAATGCCAATCCTCCTCTTTTTGCCAAGGAAGATTGGCTCTGGGCTAACATCTGTGCCCATCTTCCTCTACTTTATATGGGACGCCGCCACAACATGGCTTGACAAGCAGTGTGTTGATGCGCGCCTGGGATCTGAACCGAAGTGCGTGCACTTAATCGCTACACTACTGGGCTGGCCCCAACGGCACTTCTTTTTAAGGGGACAGTCAAATGATGACTGCTAGCCGTCAGGCATTTTGTTATTAGCAGTAATGAGTGGTGTCAGCAGAGATTTCTCAGTTCTAGGAACTTGAGACTGAAATGAGCTGCAATTACATTTCTGCAACAGTGTCCTTTTCTTTACTTTAGCCCACACGTGCTTATTGAGCATCTGTTCCATTCCAGGCAGAACTTGAGATGTTGAAGTGAACAGGGAATGCTTACCTTTAGGGATCCGTTGGAAAATAGGAAGATGAAAATGCTAACAAAATATTTTTCAGCTACAACAATTTTGTTCCATGTTCTGTAATTTGGTTATGTCTTTTATCTTTTTTTTCTTAGTATAAATTAAAGTAATTCTAAGTACTTTTAAAGCAAGAAATATTCCGTATGTGGGTGGGCATACTCAAGCTGGATAAGTTGGGAGGTGTGTTCAGGTCAGCCTCCAGACCAGAAATGTTCCCAAATCCCTAGTGTCAGTTCTCACTTCCCTCTCTCCCAGAAAGGCAGTCTGATGTAAAGATGCTCTCCCTTCAGTTAACACAGTAGATCCCTGCTCCTCAAACGACCTTGGTGAAGGATTAGCGTTGTTTTTTATTTCCAATCTGTGGCAGACCAATACTTTAATTTAATGCAGATTAATTACAGGGAAAAATTGGCTTGTGTTTTGCTTGCTTTTATTTCATCTATAATTAGAGTCAACGAACATAAAATTATTCTGTCAAATTGCTCTAAGAGTTTCCAAAAGCATAGTCTATTTCTGTACTTCCCTGGGGACTGGGATAACACTTTGAACAGCACTGCAGCATATAACTCTTTGTTAATATTGTCGCCTTTAAACTTGCTGTGTTTATACTATTTATCAGCTAGATATTCTGGTACAGGCTGATGTTTGGTTATGTAGTTTCTTCACTTATGTAGTTTCTTTAGTGAGGGATATGTGTGTGTTTTTAAAAATAATAATAGTACGCCTCTTGTTAAAAAAAATAGTAAACTCTTAAGATTATTAGCTAAATTAAAAACTATTACCTTGACTGTCCTACCCTTGAATCCTTGGGGCAGGCTTACGTGTGTCCTAAAGCATTGAGTTTGTGGAGCTCCAGTATTAATAGTATTGTGAGAGTTAATTGTGTTGTGAATACTCATGGTATTCAGTACTCACTAGAAACCTAGTTCTTGCTTTCTCCTATATCTTATTTTCATGATCTCTCCTCACATTCAGGCTCAGTTCTGTCGTAACTAAGGTAAAGTGAAGGAAAGATGCTCTTGTTGCCTTTCGAAGAGACGTGAAAACACGCTTCCTCTCCTTGCTGGGACAGAGGAGGCATGTTCCAGACTCCTGATCCATTTTCCGTACGAGTATTTTGTCTTGTATCTTTCTGAGTAGGAGGTATATATTTGATCACTCCATTTCTCATTCACTGGAAGAAGAGAATGTTCACAGAGCTTGAAGAATAGTCCTGGTCAGAGGCTCCTGTTTTGAAGCAGGAGTTGTGATTTGATCCTGGCCTGCAGCCTTCTGTCTGTTTTGGCAAGGAAGGAGTTAAAGGGACTTCTTTGAACCTGATGTGTTCACTCACACCCTGCTGACTCCCAGGTGTGTTGCTACACCCTGTTTAGCTCCTGACCAACTACCCCTGGCCTGTCGAACTGGTGAAGGTTGTTTTACTTGGGTGCTGTGAGCTGGTCCCTGGTCTCCCTGGGGAGCCTGGGATCAGCACTGCCATATGCAAAGTCCGTGTGTCCGTGGAGGGGTACCTACGTGGAATGGGGTCTGTCCTACATTTCCCACCTATTTTCAGTTTGTTATCCTTTCTAGAGGACTGAGCAAAACACAGGTCGTATATCTGGGTTTTGGTGCCTGTTTATTTGGGGATCATTTTATTCTGTCATTGGTTTTATAATCCAGTTACTGTGGGTTTTGCCTTCCTCATGGATTGAGATGGCAGACGTATTGAAGAGGAAGCCTGTGAAGAGGTATTACTCTTTTTCTGGTACCTCTCGGAAGGATTCCGTGAAGGCACTGAGGTTTTCAAGGTCATTGAACCTCAAAAGAACCACTTCAGGAATCAGCAAAAGGCAGGTTGGTACAGAAATTTCTGATCCCTTTAAATTTCCTTTGGAGTTGAAAGTAACATATTATTTGTATTTATTCTTTAATATTCTTTTGCAAATTTTCTTGATTAATTTGAACATTCTTCCATTGCTTCAAAAATGTACTGGTATTTTCTATACCACCACTTGATTTGTGGATGTTTATTATTTATTTGTGTATGTTTATTCATTTATTACATCCATTAAGTTACTCTGTCACAACACAAACAGTTGTAATGTTATCAGAAGATTCTGATTACTAATATGAAATCTTCTACTAAAACATTGTTTTAATGAAGACCCTCCTGTTATCCAAACATCTCACGGAAGGATTAGTTGGCTTTTATGCATAAACAAAATATTGGAATAAAAGCAAATGAGTATTTATATAATTTCATAGGAATATTGTTCCATAGGATTATTTGGAATTAAATTTATTTTTCCTAAAATATACTTTGAGGCTACTGAGTGGAAATATAAATGATAGGAAGAGATTCTGACTGTGTGCTTTCTTGATGTTTTGTTTTACTGTTTATCTGCTGAATCTGTAAGTTTTAGACTGTTCAAATAATATATAGCTTAGATTTTAACAGTATTGTCTGTTAAATATTAAAAGATTCCTTTTTTTAATGTACATATTTTTGGAGCTATTTTTCAATCACCAAACAACAACAATAATAGGTAAAACGTAAAACTAAGATCACACATAAGGGCCACTTCTCCGTCCAACGCGAGGCCGAGTCCCACGTACAGCAACTAGAAGGATGTGAACCTATGACGTACAACTATCTACTGGGGCTTTGGGGGGAAGAACTGAAAAAAAAAAATTTTTAAAAAAAAAAAAAAAAAAAGATCACACATAAAATGTGATTTTTTTTTCCTTTATTGTTTATTTTTGGATGAGTGCCATGGGTTGTGTGAGCCCCCAGTGGTCTTTTGGTAGAATGGTTAGTTTTGAGCTTCATTGTAGTAAGTCATGCTATCCATGCCCCTACTGGGGGCAGAATTGTGTTTTCCACATTGCAAATAAACGCTTCAGAGCTACTTCCTTCTTATAATTCAAATTCAACTCAAAGACGTGATAGTTAGCTGGCTAGCTTAGGAACGATATGTGTTTTTGAACATCTCTCAATGGTTTATAGAAGTGGGCACTGAAGAGTAATATGCATCGTCAATTCTACACTTATTTTGGTCCTCACATGTCTGCTAAATCTTGAGTAGTATTAGTTTCATCTTCTTTCCTTTATTTTCCTTATTATCATGGGGAACGTTGACCTATCAGAAACAAATTGAGTCTGAGCCATTCCAAATCTCTAATATATTTCCTTCAGTAGAAACCATAATAGATATTTATTGGTTAAGATTTCTCAGCAATCTGGAATTATTTCAATGTGACACTGTTTATGTTCAGATCAATGTAATTTGAGTTAAGGACAAGAGTAAAACCTGTTTTTAAGAAGTTAAACCTATGTAGCGTATACAGAAAATAATACCAGAAATGAATGACGAACTTCATTTCTCAAGGGTGTTAATTCAGGTGGCGAGATCTTTTCTCTTTGCCCTTGGAGAAGCAGGGAGATTAAACCTCTGCTTGAACTTGAGGGTGGAGGCCTGTGTGTTGGCATTTGATACTTGCGAGTTTAAATGTGAGTGCCTTAGATTGTCACTAAGGATTCCATGGCATTGTTTACAGAGCAGGGTGTTAACCTAGAGTTCTCTGCCAAAATCCAATTTGTTTAATTAAATTCTGCCGAGTATTTCTAACTTCCTGCCCTAAACTACTTGTGATTGCCTGCAGTTCCAGTGGTAGTAATAACAGCAATGGTGTTCTGCTCTTGTAAACATGCTTTTAAATGATTAAGTTCTGAGTTGTCGGGTAAAATGATTGCCTTTCCATCGTAAAGGTGAGATGTGGTCTTTTGAGGATGCATGGGGCAGTTGGTGGTGTAAGTGAAGAGATCAGCTAGGCCTCCTCCACAGAGTTCCTGGGCCATTTTGTTTGTGGCAGTGTCTAACGTTGATGAAAAAGAAACATTTTTTTCCTGAGGCAAGGCACATCCCCTCTTTAGAGCATTATTTCTCTATTAGAAGCCAGCGTGTGACATTTAAGCAGCCATATGATTTCAGTTTTGTGCATCACTTTGCTTTGAGGAAAGGTTTCCATGGAAAATATAAGTTTCAAAATCGTTGTTTGGTATACTTTTTTGGGGGTAGGGGGATGATAGAACAAGAGTGTAATAATACCTCTGAGAGTTGCCAAGAGAATTGAGATCATGTATTAAATGGAAAAAAAACCTGAGAGAAGCTGAAATATCATATGGGAGAGTGTGCTTGGCTCACAAGGCAAGGGATTTAATTTAAAGTGTGTATGATAGAAAAATCTGCTTCAGCAAAAATACAACATGGTTTTTGAAGTAAATGGTTGAAATTCAAGCATCAGAATGTATGCATGGCCCAATGCATGGATGTCAGTCGTTTACTTGAGCACCAACATTGGGATTATTTATCTCTGTATCTGTATCTATGTGCTGACTTCTACGTCTTGATCATATAGAAGATCACTATCTAGATGTAGAGCCAGCAGAATGGTGCATTGTGACAAGGTTGCTTCATGGTGGAAAACCAATGATGCTAACTAAGAAAGTTAGATGAATTTTTTTTTTTTTTTTCCTGAGGAAGATTTGCCCTGAGCTAACATCTGTGCCAGTCTTCCTCTATTTTGTACGTGGGTCACTGCCACAGCATGGCCACTGATAGGCGAGTGGTGTAGGTCTGCGCCTGGGAACCGAACCCGGCCTGCTGAAGCAGAGCACGGCAAACTTAACCACTAGGCCACGGGGCCGGCCCCATAGATGATTGTTTTTAATTCAACAAAAAGAAACCTTGAGAGCTTTAAGTTAGATATACAGTTTACAGTTTATCTGTTAAAAAGCCTTCCTTTGTAAGTAGAGCACACAAAACCCAAAATAATGCTGCCTTGATCTTGTAGGGCATAAAGGTAATTATTTTGAACTCCTCCAATAATTATCCTCAGGTAACAAGAAAAGGAAATTGGATAGATTTGGTATTTAGACATTCTAGAAATTTCTGATACTAGTACGTTTGTGTGTGTGAAGATAACATATTAAGGTGTATTGTCATATAATTTTTCACCTTCTATTAAGAATGACGTGTAGAAGAATTGTAGTGAATTGGAGTTGAGCTCTGTACACACGAAGCTGTATTTTTGTACCAGCCGTTCTCTCCACTACAGATGGTACCACTTGTTGTCAATGACAGAATGCAGATAGGTTCAGGAAAATTTGAAGTATAACATTGTTTATTGTAAAACACTAAAACATATGTTCTTGTTAAGTGCTGTGTTAGAAAACTACTTAAGATGTAACAAGTTAGGAATATATAACTTTCTCTTATTTTATACAGTGGTTATAATCCAGGCTCTGCTTTTTTTTTTTAAAGAGAGAACAACTTAAATTTCTAAAGAATAATCTGTATGTGTGGATAACTTGAAAGAGTGTTTTTTATTTACTTTATTATGAGAATAGTTTCCTAATCATAGCAGAAAAGATAGTGTTGGCTACTAATGTCACCCACACGTAAAGGAGAAATGTGTTCTTGATAAGTTTTGTGACGTTGTTTTGCTGTGTAGATATTAAAATATTATAGCATTTGATTTATTATTACTTTTATGTTTCAAAAATTATACATTCTTGCTTTTTCTCAACCCAAATTAATGAGAAGTTCCTAAACTTAAATACAATTCATATTTTCAAGAGTAGCTTATGATTTTTTAAATATTAAGTTTAGCTTACCCTATGTAATTAGGTGAAAATGTGCATATAGTAGTACTCAAAATATTAGTTTAAGAAAATACAAACCTTAAGTATTTGCTACCCTCAGATTATCCTAGGGCAAATAAATTTTCTTCCAAAAAACACACTCACCCCAGATTGAGAGATTTCTGATTTGGATTGAAGCAGGCTCTCCGTAGTTATTTTTAGGGAAATGTTGTGCAGAGCATTAGACATTGATTATTCTCCTCGGTTCTCCATTGACATCTCTTTATTCAGATGGTTTGTTCTGAAATGGCAGCCAAGTGTAAAGTAGGCTGAGATAATGTTGGATTTAAGAATAAATTAATCCAGAGCATTTAATACCTAGATATTAAAGAGAAATGAAGTGCATGTGGGTGAAGTACATGTAGGTGATTAATTCCTGTGATGGAATTTATCATCCCAGAAGTGTTCAAAAAAAGACCGTTGAACACGTTTCTTTAGAAAGAATCAAGCGTGGCCCAAGTCTTTAGCATTATTCTTCTTCTACATCCCTTAATCCAGATAGCAATCTCACCATATCATAATACTAACTAAAACAGGCATTGACTACCCAAATTCAGAAGGGCTAGCATGAAACATGCTCGTCTTGAATAAAAAACTTAGGTCATGTGGTTGGAGGATTAATATATATTTTTTGAAAGGCAACAGTTCTTCCACAGAGAGTGTATTAAAACAAAGTGCATACAGTGCAGTTGATCAGGTAGGGAATATAGCGTGTATTTTGAACTGTTGGTTGTACGTGTTCACTGTGAGGAGCTGTCTCTGAGGTTAAACAAGATGACTGTGCCCGCCACATGGGAGCATCGAGTTGCTGGTTAGAGTGCCGGAGGGCTCAGCTGGTGGTAAATTTCTTGTTTACCTTTTTGGGTTGTGAACTAAGTGCACTGTAATTTATGTTAATTTGTGCTTTAAAAGTCTCCAATTTTGTACTTGATCATAAGGGTGAGTAAGAAAGATGAAAAAATATGCATAAATAATAGTGTTAGCGGTGAAAGGGAAAGAGGTTAACCTTTTGAATAAAAGCCATATGTGACCAAACCTAGGATTTTTCCAGTGATATATTGAGTTTAGAGTTGTATCTTTAAAACCATAAAATATGTTGCTTTTGAAATTCATGACCTACTTCTCTTTCCCTTAGGAATGCTACTTCTGA